TTCCTTTTTACGGTGCTAGCGAAGAGAGAGCAATGAATCTAAACAGGAGGTGCGAGAATCAGAAACACTCAAGCTAAAGACATAAACTTGGCCTCGCGTTGGTTTACTCCTTTTTATACACATGACCCGCGACGAAGCCGGCGGGATGGACGGGTTCGACCCCCATGGCTCGTTCGCGGAGTGGGCCGCCAGGAACACGGGCCCGGCGCCTGTAGCGGATGCCAGCCACGGGGAGGGAGATGTGAAAAAAGAGAGGTTAAATCTAGTAGTTGGAATTCCGCAGTGCTGGGGCCACCGTCTTCCAGCGACAAGACTGGCCGCTGGCATGCTCACCCTTCATTTCCCCTCTGCAATCCCGCTTCCCAGCAACAATAATTTCGGGTATCGCGCCTCGCCGACCTCGCACACGGCGCGCAGGAAGCCCGCCTCCTCGACCCGCGCTGTCCACTCCATCATCTGCAGCCACCGCAGCGGCCTGTCTAGCCTCTCATCCATGAAGGGCTGGAACTGCCGCACGGGGACCACGCTGCTCGTCGTGTGGTGCATGTACTTGACGCCCGGGGTGGTGTTGGCATCCTCGGCGCCGCCGCCGCCGCCGTTGTCCCCGAGCACGCCGTCGGCGATCCTAGCCGCCGCACTCTTGTGCTTCGTCTCTTGACCCTGGGGTTGGTGACCTCGGCGGGTGGGTAGAACCGCGACATGGAGACCTCGGGATATTCGTTTTTGCCGCTGAAGAGGATGGCGCGGACGCTGGAGACGAGATGGAAGCGCGTCGGGCGACTGTGGCTGGCGGCGAGGCCTAGAGCGGCAAGGAAGCCCGTCGACCGCACGCTCGGGTCGCGGATCGACGCGTAGGTGTTCAGACAGGACCCTTGGGCGCCGGCGTGCAAGATGAAGTCGACGCAGCCTATCAGGACTTTGATGCCGGCTTGCGAGAGGCCGAGGCTAGGGGCCCGAGGTCGTCCTCATGTATGACGACTTTGTCGCCTTGCGATCCGTCGAGGTTTGCGGTTCGAGCTAGCTCTGCGGCATACTCAGACGACACGGCGAGTCAGTGGACTTTGGCCAGGTCATCGCGGGGCAAGAATGAGCCGCGAGCCGAGCTGTGTGTGAGCGCCTGTGAGGGGGATTGTTTTCCTGTCGTTCCCTCTGCTAGCGGACTGGCCGCGGTCGGCTAGAAGGCGGCTTGAATGGGCAATCTTCGGGTGCCGCGCAGATGAAAGTAGTCGCCAGAGCAGCTAACAGGGGTCTTGGCAGATGCAAAGTCAGCCTTGGAACTCGCAGCGACGGTAGCCCGGGATCCGTGAACGGGCAGGGGAATCCGGCCGCATATTTTCCGGGAGTCGGATGAGCCAAAACGGCGAACGACATGGTAACCTTATCATCAGCGCGAAACAGAGCGTCACGATTGAGGGATCGACGGGCAGTGGCGTTGCGGTACTTGTTGGTAGTCTGGCGCTCGACCACTAGCGCCAAGGTTGGGAACAAAGGCAGTGGCTCGTCAGGCAGTCCAGAAAGCTCGCGGAACCAAAAGCTCAGTCTAGGAGCGGGGCCGACGGACGAGGGAGTGGACATGGCCTCGAACTCGGCTGTCGACGCGCCCTCGCCGTGGGTTGAGTCGACGAAACGGAACGAACAAGCTAAGGTGGACCAGGCAGTCTGTGTGAGCTCGCGGGTGGCCAGGTTGGTGGACAGACGAGTTCGCAACATGTAGTGGGCGAGCGTTTACCTGCTCAAAAGCTAGCGCAACCTTGTCAGCCTCGAGAGGGCCGCGGATTCATACCATGCCGTCTCATTGTACAAACTTTTGTCCTCGAGGAACTCGTGCAGTAGTCAGAATCAGATGCGCACCTGGTTCAAAGATAACGGACCTTGGCGCTTGGGCTTGGAAGCGACGGTTAACTCGAGATCCTGATCCGACATGTCCTGATGGGCCTTGTGAGCCTCTCCGAAACGAATATCGCCAGCGGCCGGGGGCGGCACCGACGATGCGCGTGTGCGTTCCTCAGTTGAGGACGGGGAGCTTGACCGCGGTGTGCGATGCCCGGCATCCGGGCGACTTGGGGAGCTATCATCTCCGTCCGTCGAGGTCGGTCGAGGAGAGAGCGGCAGGGGATGAAGAAGAAAGCAGCTCGAATATTTTCACGGATTTGTCTGCCATGCTGGCTGTCGCTGCACCACCGCCAGCAACCAAACGAGCAGCATCTGCCAGATATCGGGCGGCCTCTGCATCCTCAAACCAAGGCTTGGTGCTGTAAACAGCACGCGGCAGAGCTCCGCCCAGAGGCCCAAGGCAGGGCGCATTGGATCGGCGAAGTCATATGTTCCTGTAAGTCTTAGCACCAACGACCGACACGGTAACCTTGCCCGGAATCAATCAAAAAAAAAAAAAAAAGAATGTGAAGTAAGGGACATCCCGGGGAGCCCCCGCGGGGGCTCGAACCCGGGACCTCCCCCCGGGGACCGTGGGGTCCAAGGCGCAGAGCTTACGTCGTACCACCTAGACCACGCCACTATCCCCGGGCACGGAAGCAGCAGCACCAAACCAAGCTTATAAGGGGAGGAGGGCGCACCGCCGTGTCGTCTCCTAGCGACCTCCCAAGGAATGGCTGAGGATGTCAGTTGACCTAGAGCTCAGATGGCCGTCAAATCCTTTGACCGATATGCTTTTTGCATATGAGCCATCCATTCTCAACCAGCACCTTACCAACCAACTGGGAAAATCATGTATCCACCTACGGCGTGCCTGACCCTGCCCTTGTATAAACCTATCACTCGAAGAGGCCTTTGCCGGCTGCGCTACAGCTTGGACGAAGTGGAGATGATCCTGTCTGTCGTGGCCATTCACACAACAACGGATCTGCCGACGTGGACGCTGCTGCAGCTTGCCGCAAGCCCACAATATATCGCGTCCTTGGGGGAGTAGATGATGAGGGTGTTGTCGACGGAGGGATGGAACAAGACCTCGCTCGCAAACTTGAAGCCGTTCGTCAGCGCCTTAAAAGAAAGTCGACGACTGGAGCCCATTCACCTAGGTAAGCCGCACTGAGATATGTCGTCGGCCTTTCTCCTTCCAGCCTGGCCCAACCCTCGATACAAAAAAAGGCCAGCAGGTCATGGGTGATCATAGCTGGCATGCATTGCAGGGCGCGAGCGGACGCCGAACTAGAGGGCGCCGTTTCGTTGCCCAAAGGCCAAGTAGTAGTCGTCGACAGCTTGAGCATGATGAACCCGGCCATCCACAAGAGCCCGGAGAAGTACGACGCCCCGCCGGTTCTACGAGATGCGCAGGCGGCCCGTCGGCGAGCACAAGAGCGCGCTCGTTTCCACATCGCCCCGACTACACCGTCTTCGGACACGGCCAGCACGCCTGTCCCGGCCGCTTCTTCTCGGTGCTCGAGGCCAGCGACGAGTAAACGGGCATCCACGGGTCATTTGGACAGGATGATAACTTTCTCCAGTTTGAAACCTAGCTATAGAGGATAGGGAAAAGGTCGGGCAAGAGCGATGAAGCTACCCGTTGTCGGGCTGTGACATGTCGACGGTATTGTGTTCCTTGACCTGAGCTTGAAACCGAACAATCGAGGCGTGGGGCGGATTCTACGCTTGTTCCGGCGTGTAAGAGAAATTGTGTTGGCGTTGGGCGAGACGCGCGTTCTTGACATGGTATGTTCGCATGGCAACCACATTTGCTATCCTGGGCTTCGTTGCTGCCTAGCGGCTCCATATAGTCAACAAATGTGTTGCGCAATGATATATCCATCAAGTCGTGAGGTGTCGCCCACGACATCGTTGGAGCACAGCTCGAGGGCACCTGCCGGTTTCTGGTGGAAACGCAACACACGCAGTAGCTCCTTGGCCCTCCTCAGCCTTGCGCGCCACAACTCTTGGTCCAGCTTTGGGCACGAATGGGCAACGGTTGGAATGGACGGAAACGAGTGGCTGTGCTGCATACGTGTACGGGGAAAGTAGGATATTAAGCTGTGGGTCTGGTCAACAGGGTAGCGGTACATCGATTTGGCGGGCTTTTCTAAGGAAAAAATGTGGTTGGGACGTGGCCTAATTAGGAAGGATCTGCGGGTCGTAACGTTTGATATCCACTTTCCTATACCGACCCCCAGGCCCCAGGCCAAGGGAGGGGATAGGCCCTAGGCCCAAGGGAGGGGATCCCGACGGCTGAAGGTGGTCCCGTCTTACGGGGAGGGGTTGAGCTCGCTTCTTTATGAGCATCTTTGCGTGCCAGCTCGGGGACGTCGATTTGGATCCGATCTGGCCATCTGTAGCATCTTGTCTCTAATAGTCGAGCTTGAGTGCGATTTATAGCTTATCAGTCCATACGCGAGATTCTATCGACTTCGTCCTTCGTTTTTTTTAGCTCCCTATCCCCTCCCGAACTCCGTTCCTGCTCGATATTCCGGACGAGCAAAGATGGAGTTCATTACGCAGGAACGCTGGTACGTCGTTGCGCCGCTGTGTCTGGAGGCTCCGAACTGGGTGTCTCCATACTGTGTACCGCATCGAGGCTATGCGTTTGTTTACCGGGCTAACATGAACCACCTATACATCTCTCCAGTCCCGTATACGCCGTTCGTCTCTCCCACATCCATCCTCCCCACCTCCCAACCGAATACACAAACTAAACAAAACACCAAAACAAAAAAAAACACAAACAGTCCTTCTTTGGCGCCCTGGGCTGCGCGACCTCCATAGTCTTCACCGTCATGGGCGCGTCGTACGGGACGGCCAAGTCGGCCGGCGCCATCTTCTCGTCGGGGATAATCCGGCCGGACCGGCTGATGCAGAACACGCTGTGCGCCATCATGGCCCAGATCCTGTCCATCTACGGCCTCGTGGCCTCGGTCATCATCTCGGGCGGCCTGGTCGAGAAGATGGCGCTGCACACGGGCTTCATGCAGCTCGGCGCCGGCCTGTCGGTCGGCCTGTGCGGCCTGGCCGCCGGTTTCGCCATCGGTATCGTGGGCGACGCGGGAGGTGCGTTTTTTTGTTTGGTTTGTTT